ATCAATATTTAAAATTTTATTAAAAATTTTAAAATATGCAGGCAAATTTGCCTGTGTTACAATCTAAGGGATAAGATCCCATGCTTGAGATCTGGTATTTTTACTATATACAGTTTAAATTTTAAACTAATATCTGGGGTATAACTATACTTCTATACTTTTTAAATAATATATCAATATCACTCAAATATTATCTATTTTTATAGACATTATCTAATTTTGAAGTATTAGTTCTTAAATAAAACCTTGGGTAATTTATATAGCAGTAAACGATATATTTAAAAGTTTTAAAATATAATCATAAACAAAGTTTTAAACTTTCTATATCCAAGAATCTAAAAATATCATATAAAATAGTAAAATACCAGAAAGGCAGATTAACTAAATATACAGAAAAACACAATGGAATACTTATATAAAGATTTTTGAAAGCCACTGAATTTATTTCATATGTAAAAATTGATGATTTAAACAAAGAACATCTAAAAACTAATGAAATTGTATAAAAAAATTTTAAAAATAAAATGGTACAATAGGAATCTTATAAAAATTCTTAATCATATATATTTAATAAAAAAAAATTATAAATAAATTTTTTTTTGAAAATTGCAAAATAGATTAGATTTTTTTTTAAAAAAAATCGCAAAAAATAGATTAGATTTTTTTGTTTATAAATCTTTATAAAAGGCTCTTTTAATAAATTTTTTTGTAACTAAAAGCCCAAAACAAATTAATACTAGAAAAAAAACTTTCAAATACCTATTAACCCATATACAAATAAAATATCAAATATCAAAAATAAAAAAACAATTTCCAAAATGATTCTAATTTGGCTAATATCAATTCGAATTCAGATAATGATATTAATACTACTAGTGATAAAACATTAAATGATAGTAACATTAGCACAAGCTCTAATAGTGATATAGAAAATATTAGTAATAAGTTAAGTACTAAAACAAAATCACAAAAAAATGCTAGTTGAGTTTGGCAATACTTCCACAAAAAGTATCTATTACAAAAATATAAAAGGTATGCAAATTGTATTGTAATTGTGAAAAATAAAAAATCTCAAAATGGTTAATGGGAATATAGACAGCTAGTTAAGACTCAGAGTTTAACTAAAAACTTCTAATTATATCTAAACACATATAAAATTACTAAGTCTACTAAAAAAAATAATATAGCTATACAACCAACAGTTAATGAAATATTTCAACAAGCCACCAGACAAAATCTTCATCAAAAAGAATCTATTGAATATGCTTTGGTTGGATAGATTATTATGAATTCATAGCCTTTTCATATTCTATAAAGTGAAAGTTTTATTAAACTTATTAATACATTAAATTCATATTATGAATTGTTTTCTAATAAACAAATCAAGAAACAAATTCATCAAAGCTACAATTATTCAGTAGATTGACTTAAAACATTCTTTATAAAAGAACTTAAAACTTGTAGCTTGACATGTGATTTGTAAACTGCTTGCTCTAAAAGCGAATATATCAGAATTATATATCACTTCATTGATTCTAACTATAAATTAAAAGAAATTATACTTGCAGTTAAATATATTTCATATTTCCATAATGCTATAACAATTCAAAATAAATTAGAAAATGTAATGAGTAATTGAAAACTTTCTGAAAAAATAGTTTCAGTTACAACTAATAATGCTACCAATATAGTTAAAGCCATTAGTCTTATAAATATAGATCAAATTCTTTGTACTGCCTATATGCTTCAACTTGCTATAGGAAAAAGATTAAAACCTGTAGCAACTTTAATAAAACATACAAAGCAGTTAATAAAATTTTTAACTACTTTTAAACAAAATGAATAACTAAAAAAAGCACAAAAAATATTAAAGATTTTAAAAGACAAGATTGGTAATGATAAAAAATCATATCTTGGTACAATTTCTGATACACCAACACATTGAAATTCATCATATATTGCATAAAAATGGCTTCTTCAAATCAAGTGTACTATTAAATTAATAGAAGCAACTATGAGCACTAATTCTGACTTTAATATTCACAAAGATGCAAATCGATTAAGGTCTATAATGATAAATAGATTGTTCTTGAAGAATTAACTACATTTTTAGCACCTTTTGCTAAAATTACAGAATTATTAGAAGGTAGTATTTACACTACTATTAGCTTCATGTGGCCAGCTATTATTACTCTTACTAGAAATTATACTCTGTTAGTAACTAATACAAATTTGGAAAAATTAATTATACAGATATATCAACTGTATTTGATAAAAAAAAAAGATATAATTGATTTAGATAATAAATCCAAAACAATCACTATTGCTAATAGCAATAAGTTTAAATTTAATTTACTACAGAATACTAATAGTTTAATAAAAAAAATTAAAGAGAAATTATATATAGCATTGAATTATTACTAGAATATACTAATTAATAGCTCATTAATCATGATATTATTTGATCCTTGATATAAGTCAATGAAGCAGTTAAATAGTTAAGAGCATGATAGGATAGTTAGTTTTTTGTAAAAGAAATACAATTCACTTAATACTAAAAATGAACTAGTTACAAGCTTACCAAATAAAAAATAAAATGAAGATCAGATGAACTTTTTTTTAATAATTTTTAAATTAGATAAAAGATCAACACTAATTAAAAATAAAGTAGATCAATATCTCAAAATTGATCAAGTATCAACCAAAACTAATCTACTTAACTAGTAAAAAGATATCCAAGAAGAGCTTCCAATTCTCACTAGTTTAGTACATAGATATTTAGCTATTTCTACAATCTCAATACCTAGCGAACATCTATTTTCAAATACAGATAACTTAATGATAGCCAAACATATACTGACTTGTTTGAAAGAATTCTTTTTCTTCAAAGAAATATTGGAAGTTTGGATACTATCTTTAAGCGTAAAAATTAAAATTAAATTAGTAGTTTGTTTTTTTATATAACTATAAATATAATAATCAATATAGCTTATTTTAGGTTCTTCAAATTTACTATATATGAAAGATATTTTAAATAAATTGTATATAACTGTTATTAAATACAAGAGAACTATAAATTCTAATTATATATTTAATAATAGCAAAAGTTTTTTCTTGTGTTATACTATTCGAATTTGAAGATATTAATTTTTTCGTATATATGTAGATTATTATTGATCATTATTATCTTACTGCTAATTCCTATAATATTGCATATGATAAAGTTATCATTAGATTGTAATCTTGTGATAGCATATAATAAAGTTATAAATTGATATTAAAATTATGATAAAGATAAATAAATTATATAAATTATTTAAAACAGATCAAATTTGCATTATTCAAAAGGATTTTAGTATAAACATGTTTAGTTTTATTAGATTCTTTGTAATTTATTAGCTATTTAGTAAGAAATTCTCTTATAAAATATTTACTATTTAAAAACTGAATAGAAAATAAATTTAAAAACTGGATATTTTAATAAAGAAAATTTCTAAATCTACACATGTGTTTGAATATATATAATAAAATAAACAATCAAATTTTTTTTAAAAAAATTAAATTTCTTTAACTTTAGGGTTAGAGCAAGATTTGAAATTTTAGCAAAAATATAGTTATATGTAAAATTTAGCAAGAAATTTTTTTAATTAGAACACCAAAAGTGGTTTTATATATAAAATTTTGAGATATTAAGATTTTTTGATTTTTTTACTAAAAAGGTTTGTTTTTGTTATATGAAAAAATAATCTATATGTTATATCTAATCTTAAATTTTGATTGGTTTTTCTAATAATTTTGTATAACAATATGTGTATATACTAGTGTACAAATAGAAATTTTCTTTAATAAATATACGTTTACAAATTCAAATTAAAAAATATAAAACAGAATATCTATTTGGATATCTGATTATATATCTGGATTCAAACTCTAATAAACTCAATATTATCTTTATTGAAAGTAAACTTCAATCAGTTATATATATTTAATTACATATTGAATAAAGGGTATTATTTTATGGTGATCTATCACGATCGACCAATCAAAATTGATCATGTGATCGACAATTTTTTTATTATTAAAGTTTATTAAAAAAAAAAAAAAAAAAAA